ACAGCAAGAGGCCTATGTTATCTCCAGATAGTTTTCAGTATCCACCTGCTATGTAACAGTGCTTTTAGACCAAACCCAGAGACATCTTCCCTAGTCAGCAGTGAGACTATCTGTGCCACTGGACTGAACCCAGTAAATGGAAAACACATTAGCTTAGCATTTTGCCTTTGTATCACAACACGTTATCCCACAACTTGAGCTTTTATTGCGCAGTTCATCCATTCTGGCATAGTCAAGCCTGCATGAAAAGTTCCAAACAGACTGGGTGAAAAAGGGGGAAATATTTTAGAGGGAAAACAAAAAAACCCACAGGTAATGAACAATGAGTTCAAAGCTTTTTGCTGCTCAAGTTTTCCATCTATTATGATTCCAAGCTCTCATGTTGAGCTCAGTATCGTTCGAAAGCAAACAGAATGAGGAACAAGAAAAACAGTAAGAGACCAGTTCTATGAACTTCTTGCATTCAATCCCACACAAAAATCCTTGCCTTCCACTTTACCTTAAAAGAAGATTTATAGAAAACTGACTAGGATAATCAATGGCCTAGGAATAATTTATACAGCTGGCAATTAAGCAGACTATGACTTCACTTGACATGACAACAGTGCAGAGAACTATGCCGGAAGTTTATCGAGTCTGAAGCAGCGCAGAAAGCATGACTGGAAACAGACCAGTTGCTATCTCCTCCACTATGAAAACCAGCGGCAGACATGCACAAAAAGTAACAGAGAGCAATTCTTCACAAGATGTGTGGGTGTGAAAAATCATTCCCTTGGAATGTGGCGGGTTCACAAAGTAACTGAACAAGAAAGAGTTAACCAATGGCTGTTAAAACAAAAGACCTTAAACTATTGTCAGAATAAAGAACACACCATTGCAGTGCTCAAATTACTCATCTTCAACTTGTTCTGGCTACACCTGGAGACATCATGTTGCAGTGGGTATCTAGCCTGATTCAGTCCAGCTGTGCTTATGAGCAGCTATCCTGTATTCAGGCTTAATTCAGAAAAGCTGTATCGTATATTCAGTTTTTCTTAATAATCTGGAAAACAGATGTAGCTCTGCAGATGATTGTACTAGTGGCCCTATACCCTTCCACAAATTAAGATGCAAGAGTTAGAGTTAAGAAAAATAAAGAGAGTTAAGAGTTGCCTCTCAGCTTAAATGAGCAAGGTCTTACCAGAGTAAGGCAGGGCTCCGTAGTTTTTAAGTGAGCAACGACAGGGCAGAGAGACAGATAACAAATAGTTACTAACAGAGTTTACAGATGACAAACTAGGGGAGATTTAAGTGATTAAAATGAAAATTGTTTGTCCTGAGTCAGCTATTCTGTGCCCCAATTAAGCAAGAGACTCCAGATCTCTAGTCATAGCTTCTTCATAGCAGCTACAGATTAAAAAAAACCAAATTCCTGTTTTGAATAATGTAGTTTCTTGTGCCCTAGATTTCACAATTCTGCTCAAGTGTTACAGCATGGACTTCTGCTGGTCTTGTGAGCTCAGCAAGAAGAGATCCTGCCTCCTCCTTCTCAAAGAAAAACAAAGTTACAGAGCATCATATAAGAAGTTATTCCAGCCAGGCAACCTTGTTATTTACATTTCTATATAAGAAGTCAAGCCATTTCCTCCCAAAGTATCATCAGCTGCAACCTGAAAAATACTGTGCCTGTAAGACGATTTGTGGTGTCCTACCTCCAACATGATGCCAATTCCAGCTGCTTCCTGCATATTCCTTTACTACTTCTCCCCCCAATCTCAAAGAAGTATTTTACTATGTCTAATAACTACCAATTTTCTCTATTTTTCCTGATAAATCAGTTCACCATCATTCTTTGCTACTATGGAAATGGACATACTCTGTCAGAGCTATTTTTTTTTACAATATCCAAAAGACCTGTTAATCTGGTATCATCTGAAGCAGCGAGAGCGCAGCTGGAAATAAAACAAATTTTGAGCACAAGTACCCATTCTAGCGGTCTCAGGATGATTTTTCCATCTCCTGCTCTTAGTCTTTCCCATAGGCTGTACTCCTCTTCCTAGAATGCGCTAGAGTACCACACTGGCTGCAGCAGAGTCCTGAGAAAGTCTTGTAAGAGAGACCAACAAGGTGGAGCTGAACTACAGTTCTTAAAACACAAAACAACCACTTTTCATTGGAAGAGCTACAAGACTGTATTTGTCCTTAAAAGTTCTTTGATCAGAAACCCAGAGATCCGTCAAATCACAATACAAAAACAAATGCTGTGAACAGTTAGAGCAGGAAGAGCTCAGTTAGCGGGAATGCTAGGCTCCGGATATCTAATTCTTTGATCTTTCCACTTTACCTTTTCAGAGATGAAAGGAAATCTCTACCCTTGTAGGCAGAGTGTGTGGCACAAGTATGGGGGTACAACAGCATTTATTTTACTGTAACAACCCCCAGATCAAAAGCCACTTATTTTACTGTATCAACCCCCAGATCAAACTAGCTTAAATGAAGCCCTGGCTGCAGTCTACAAGAATGGTTCTTTATCTCAGCCTTAATTATACTTGGCCTTGAAGAAGCAATCCAAAATTGTTATGGGTGTCAGTTTTCTATCACTCCCTTCCCACTGCTCAGCCTTCCTGACAACAGCCTGCTTTCTGTTCATGCTTATGCATCACTGACCCTTTGCTCAGGTGGTTCTGTTTTTCCTCTATTCCCACTGCTCTATCCCACGAAGCATCCAAGCCCTCTGTTGGTTAAGTGCTGCACTGTGTCCCAGAATGACCCTTTCCAAATTCTTTCCCCTTAAGTCATCCAGCAAAATACAGAGAGCACTTGTTACAATACCACTCCACCCAGAGTGCTAGCTAGTCTTCCTTCTGCTGTGGAGTAGCCTGTCTGAAAGTCTTCTCCAGTAAAATTCCTACTCTGAGAATGGAAAATTTCATGCGCAAACTTCCATAAAGTTACAGTGAAAGAAAAACAGAGGAAATTAACAGAACCTGAAGTACTATTTTGGAAACCTTGACCCTCAATGTAACTTTTTACCAGAACACACTTGTCACAAAAACGTTATTTTGGGGCAAGTCAACATCACCCCAAAGAGTTTTCTGCCATGGCTCAGACTAATTGAAGAACATTAGCTGTTCTGTCTTCTTAAATGCCTTTGGGCTTTTGTTTATCACATTACAAAAACACTTGCAGAGCTGAAGCTTCTTGTACTTGCTTTTAAGCCCAGAATTTAAAGCGATTATAATCAATTCATGTTAGGAGAATCAGCATTAAAGGAGAATATCACTTAGAATCAGACACTGATTCTCTCTTCCTTCTGCCTCATGTTGCAAGTTAACTCAATCTTGTCTGTTCAGCTTGTAAATTATGCTGACCAAAAAAAACCTGCTGCATGTAAAGTCTGGCCTCAGTGATAGTGGAGAGATTTAAAAGAAGCATTTGAACATAGCAAAAAAACCCCTGTTTTTTCTCAATATAACGCTTGGTATTTATCAGAAATAAAAGAATAAATCAGCATGACCCCTTAGTACCTTTTTATCAGTACCAGGAAACAAACCACCTACTTCACAAACAGTTTGAGAACAACTGCATTCATGGCATATTTTAACCTGACCAAGCTCTCTAAAGTACACTGTGTAATTATGGAATCATAATCCTACCTTACGTTTACCATTTAGGGTTGGTTACATATTAATAGTTCTGGCATGTCTTCTTTTCTCCACTCAGAGAGAACCCCCTTTCTGCCAGGCCTACACAACCTCCCTCAGAAGACAGTTCACACTCCAGATCTACCAAGACCTTGGAAAAAATTGACAAGAAAACTGACAAAAATAAAAATTAAAAAAAAAAAAAATCAAAAAAAAAAAAAATCACCCAACACTAGCTGCTGTTTTTACAAGTGCCCAAATGTACACTGTGAAGTCTTAAGCAGCTCTCAGCAGGCAACAACTTTAAATCCATTACCTGCAAGTACTGTCAAAACCATAAAAAAACCCCAAGAGACAAACACGCTTCGCATGTCAAAATGTCAGTATAAGCCTATTCTTCTGTCCTCCAAGAACAGCGTAATAAGTTTCTCATCTGCTAGCACATGACACAGTATTTTCTTGCAAACCCATTTTTACTGTATTTGCCAGTGGAAGCTTGTACAAGTACAGAATTCTTTCCTGCATCATGTGCTGCCTAACTGGAAGGGCAAATTTTCTATTGCTAACCAAATCTCATAAGATGCTGCAAGGGCATAATGTCTTCAATGGAATGAGTTTTCTAATAGCCAATGTACACTATCGCTTCAGTAAAATAAAAGACTGATTTAAGCACTAGTATATTAGGTGTTAGGCTTATCAGAACAGCTCTATTTAAAGAGAGGCTCAAGCAGACACACCAGTGGCCACAAGTACGTTACAGTGTGCATCCCGGGCCACAGGTTCATCACACTCTAGTGTTCCACATGTACGCTAGCATTAGAACAGGAGATAACTAGCAGGTCATATGTAAGAAGTTAACATTGACAGCAGATTACTTCTTGCAGGACAGTAATTTTCCTTGCTGCTGTGTAATCTCTAGAGGCAGCTGATAAAACACAACAACTCCAGCATTACTACCATTAAAGCGCTACTGAAATAACCATCTCATTACACACAGTAATGAAACTGTATTTTATTATAAGCAAAACCAGCTTTTTTATCACCAAGAAACAAGGACCTATACACTTTTCAAGGAGCTATCCTCGTAGAAACTGTTCTACTTAGAAATCAACTTGTACTTCCCATTGGAGGAAAAAAAATAAGCCTTGGGTGTTACAAAAAGAAACAAAACCAAACCCAAAAGTCATCAAAAAAGCAGACCTCATTAATTATGTAAAATCTGCCAACATCCTGGTCCTTCCAGACAATATAATCACTATCTCCAGTTCACAGTATTCGAAAATAAAAGTGACTGCTTGTCCAAACTTTCCCAATGTACTCTGCTTACCAATTGCAGACATACAGTTTGGCAAGGACAATCTACAAGTCCACACAGTGTGCTCTTCAGAACTATTTTAGCATTTCCTTCTTCCAAAAAAGAAAGCAACACAAAGCCACTGAGTACATATACTGCATCTTTGTGGGGGGAAAAAAAGAAAGGAAAAAGGAGGGTCTGATGCAGTGAGAAAGCTATGTAGACAACTCAGGCAACAGCAGAAGCGTATCTGGTAAGTCTGGAGAAAGGCAGGAAACCATCTTCAGTACTCTGCATTGAAAGGGTACTCCTTGTGATTTTTGCACCTGAAGGAAGTAAAAGAGGAAAGATTATCTCATGTCTGAAAGATGCTATATGCAGCTGTAACCACTGCAATGGCCCACCAAGGGCAGAGCTGAACTGCATAAAAATAGCATCAGTTTGTTTCCATTTTCTTCAGTGTTGTACTGTATTTGTAAATATATATGTAAACAGATTCTTGAGTGCCTTCTGTTTGAGCTCTGAGCATTTTGGGAAATATGACCTAGGTGCTTTGTAGGCAACTAATTCAATGTTTCACTTTTTACTGCCAGGTAGGCCTTTTTTTTTTTTTTTTTTTGCAGCCTTCCAACAAAGATTTCACATCTGGCTTCCACGCTGCAAATCCTCATGTTACTTTTTTAATGTTCACCCACTTTCCCAACCATTCCTGAAGAACCTGCACCTGCTTTTATACAATATACCTAAGGGTCATGGTAGAAAGATAAAATGCCATATGCAAAGTTAACACAGAATCCAAGTCTGCATCACACTCATTTCTCCAATATGAACAAAATAAAAACATTAAGTAAGAAGCCTCCTCTTGCAATTCCAGCTATGAAGAGTTTCTTGGAGACTGAACTGAAAATGAACATAAAGTTTGCTTTATGCTCATCATGATTTGGTTCACAACATGAACATTTAAAATCTGAGGTTAGCTGAGGATCACCACTTTGGAAATTGAGTTTGCGTAACCTGTGTTTAAACCAAGCCTCATATACTAAACTATGGCATGCTAATAACCTCATATACTGAACTAAGGCATACTAATGTTAGCTTAAAAAAACCCCCACCCCAGTACTGCCACTTACATGCTCATTGGACAGGCTCTCCAGTCTCTATTAAAGGCGAGAATAGTTGCCATCTCCTCTTTAGTCAATTCAAAGTCAAACACCTAACAAAGGAAACAGAGGGAAATCACCTCTTTGAATAAATCAGAGATTATAAGCAAAAAAAACCCCAACAAAATAACACAAAGTTAAAGAACAAGTCCACATTGTAGAGGTGCTTGTTAGAATAAATGACTGCTTCATGAAGGTGGAAAGGTAAGGCAGCTTTCTGGATTTCTGAGACTCCACTAGCTGGAGTAGTGAAGGGGGGTGAACAGGGAGAGGGAGGAATTAAAAACAAATCCCAACCTGCAGTTACACATGCCAGTTGTTTTAAGAAGTTTGGATAGCACTTTGTATTGCAGAATGCCTCCATCCTCCATTTGTGAAAGATGGATCTTTCTGTCCCATTCCAAAGGAACATCTACAAAACTTTCATATTCCACCTAATGCAGTCAAGATTCTTCCAATAAGCTAACACTGATTTCAGTAAAGGACCACTGTATGAAGAGCAGCAACATGGTTTGTGGACACCAGGACTATTTTCTTAACAGTGCTTGCTCTACATAAGCCTTTTGTTTTGGGCTACTGCACTCTGGCCCCAAAGCAAGCTCTCTCAGATGAGTCATCCACATGACATAGAACAGGAAGCATCACATAACGTGACTGCTAAGATTACCAGAGTAGTATTTCCAAAGCTTTGTTTGCTCTGCTCTCCAACTGTAACCTTAAGTTCAGCCCTCAGTAGGCAACAAGTAAACATACAGAGGGAAAAAGCTCAATCCTCTTGCCTGAAGACAATTTCAGAAGAGCAAGGAAGGATCATTGCTTGCTCTGCAGTGGGAAGGCACGCTATCCCTGAACATGCCATGCACCCAGGCCAGCCCTAATGACTCACCTTGAAGTTCTCCACAATGCGCTGTGGTGTGACAGACTTGGGAATCACAATCACATTTCTCTGGATGTGGAACCGAATGAGAACCTGCAAGAGGCATATCCCTGAGTCAGAGACAGGATGGCTTTTGTTCTATGACAAGCAGTGCCTGTTCCAACAGTTCTTTGCTGTAAACTGTACGATTCAGCAGAACTAACCCACTTTTGCAGAGTTGCATTTCAGATCACACCAGAATTCTATGCAGCACTTTTTGAAGTGCAGATAGAGAAGTGCTGGAGCCCTACATAGAAAGCCTCCTTGCTCCTTTCCCATCCAGCCTAGCAATACTCATTTCCCTTTCTTCCCTTCTCACCTAGACTTTTAGGAGGCTATACAAGGTTTCATGTCTCTGCAACAGGACTTGAGATGGGAAGACTGAATCATGACAGCATCTGAAGGTGCCAGAAAGCATTTCCTGTTGACAGTCAAAGAGCCCTCGCAAACATGCATTGTAGGCCACATAAGTAACAATGCAGGTTTGTTTACTAACATCAAAAAGAGCATCACAGTTGACAAGGAACAGAGAGCCAGCCTGTCCTCTACATTATCATTAGCTATCCTTTATGCTGCGTTACAGGAAAGGGTATCTACTGTTCAGCTTCTACATACCTGTGCTGAGGTTTTATTGTGCTTGGCTGCAATCTCTTTAATCTTAGGGTCATCCAGAAGGGAAGGGTCCTCTGGCTTAGCCCTACACAGAGAAAAGATGATCAGTGGCAAGAAACCTCCATAGAGCCAACCTAACAGAGATTTGTATCTGGATGAATAATTAGCGGTGCACTTGCAATCTCAAAGTCTGAAGCATAAACTCATGCTAGCTCCCTTGCAAAGTGCAAAGCAATTTTACCATGGTCTGTCAGGTGAGCCGAGAGGACTGTATGCTGTCACAGTAATCCCTTTGGATTGACAGTACTTGATCAGCTTCTCCTGGGTGAGGTACGGATGGCATTCAACCTGCCAACATAAGAGTACAAAGATTGACAGCAATTTAATGGCTTTACCATGCTCCAGGGATTAATTTTTAATCAAATCAAAGGCTCATTCTGTTCTAATTTACACTCTCTGTGCGATACTACACTGCCTTTGGGTTTTGTATGCCCCCATCCGCTTTCTAGCATTTGTAGTATTTCTCCTTGCAGTGAAGAATCCAAGGACTGTAACATCACTCCTTAAAACTTTGCTGATCCATATTATCTCCAACATATGGAATAACCAGCTACCCAATTGCTTAGAAGGGACAGTTCAGGAAAATGCATACAAAAGAACTGTAAAATCTTACCAAGAGGACAGCAGAACCGGAAGTACAAAGTCTCTTTTCATCCCCAATTAAACATGCCATAACATTTTTATTGTTTCATTTGGTTTTAATTGCTTTGTGTCAGTAGTCACACTGACTACCTCCAGTCTGCAAATCAAAATCTGCTACAGATTTTAGACTTTCAGCTTACTGTCCATTACAGACTTTTTACAAACACATGTGTAGTTACCACAAATTTCCATAAGACTACCTAACAATACAGGCTCCTTAACAGTAGATCTGTAGTCTGGCAAGCTAATGCATAGATACGCAGTACACAACAAGAATTATTCATGTGTCAGAAGGCAGCAAATGAACATGAATATCTGATACTTCAAAGCATAGAGGGACTTTTAGGATAGTTCCACAGCAGGGAGCACTACTTTACTTTCAACAGGCAACATCAACAACTTTGACTACACTGTCATGCCAGCCTTCTGCAGCCTGCTGCTGCATTTGGGTGAAGTCCCTGGAAACTTGTACTCCTGGCAGGTGGAGCAACAGTGCAGAACGTGGGATCAGTTCACAGCCTTGAGTGCTTTATTTGTGGTTCTAACTGCATGTTGTTATCAGAAGCCTACATGGCCGTTTCCTTTCTAGGGCATGTTGGAATATTAGACAAACAGGACACAGCTCAGTTTTTCAGGCAGATTATACATATTTATTTTGCTTCAGCTGCTCCAGAAACACAGCTACTCAAAAGTACCAGAGCATGGGGTTATTTTCTCAACTATTCAGTAAGTAGAATTTATGCAATAAGCAAGGCAAAGTCATTCTTACCTGTCCACTGACACTCAAATTCAACTTCTGAGCTACATTACCTAGTCTTATGTTCAGATGAGGATGAAAAGTCTATGATACCTTAAGGTACTTAAGCAAGCTATTGCAATCCACATTGTGCAATGATGACCAAGTACTTAAAGAACCAGATTTTCTTACTGAACTAAGTACTAATACCATAATGTAATTACTACCTTGCCAAATTAATTCCTCACCACAAATAAAAGCAATCCACGTACTGGATTCAAATTCAAATTAAGAATGGGAATGAACACCAAATACAGAGAGATTACTCTGTGTGAAGCATCTGCACAGAGAAAGGGTTTGCAGGAAGCACTATAACACCACTGGTCACAGACAAGCTTTCATGCTTGCAAGCATTTCTTTAGAAACAGTAGGTTTTGAAGGACAGGGACCAAAGATCCATTGCTCTGAGCTGAACCTGGAAAGCTTGAGAACATACACAAGTATGACAGTGCAAATTGCTGTTCTGTATGCAAAAGGCAAGGGTAATGATCAACTACAGTGATTAAGGCAATGAGGTGTGGCAGGTGTTGAAAGGTATCATAAACACTTTCACTGCGTATCCTTGAAAGTACATTGAGATAGATAATGAAAATACACAGTAAAGAACTATTAATGTTGTACTCGTCAGTGTTTCGGTTTTATGTCAGATAGACTTCCTGAGAACAATCTTATCTGCTTTCTGGGGAAAAAAAAAAAAAAAAAAAAATGGGTATTAAAATCCCTTTTTGGTACATATGCCCAATCTGTTACAATAAATTAAACCATTATACATAGTATATATCCTAAAATTAGGTATCAAAAACTGAGATTGCAGTCCTTCAAAGGCCATAGCAATCAAGGGCAAGTCTAGACAGCTCAGAACAATGGGTCTTTGGTCCCTTGTCCTTCATAGGAGACTATCCCAGGACCTGTCCTCTTTAAAAACTTGCACCAGACTATAATTTTGTCAAGTTTGCAGGTGATGACCAATCCAGGGAGGACCACTCAACACACTCAAGGGCAGGGCTTCCACTTCAGGAGGACCCATTCAGGCAAGAAGAGGCCAACAAGAACCTTATGAAATTCAACAAGGCTGAATACAGAGCCCTGCACCTGGGAAGAAAAAGCCCCTGGCAATAACACAAGCTGGAGCCTGACGACTTGCAGAACAACTATGCTATAAGTGATCTGAGGGCCCTGGCAGGCTGAGCTAAACATGAGCCAGTGGTGAGCCCTGGCAGCGGTAACACTGCCAGTAAGTTTAGGGATGTGATCATATGCCTCTACTCGGCACTTGTCAGACCACCTCCATAATACTGTGTCTAGCTTTCCCCCTTCCTAGCCCTCTCAGTAAAAGAAATACTGACAAACTATCATGAGTTCAGCAGAGAGCTACCAGGATGGCTGGGGGCTGGAAAACCTGCTGTACTGGGAAAGGCTGAGGGAGTTGGGTTTGCTCAGCTTGGAGAAGGGAATACTTCAGGTCTCCTAGTAACAGCTTTTCAATACCTAAAAGAAGGTAATCCAAAGGCAAGCCAGGGTCTTCAGTGGCACACAGTGGGAGGACAAGAGAACAAGCATAAGCTCAAACAAGAGAGGCTGGATGCAAAACAACTACCTCCATTACTCATACACCTAAGGCATCCAATTCTTTGTTAGGTCCTCAGTATATATAATAAGGTTTACTCCAATGAAGGTTTTAAAGCCCATCCGAGTTCCCCCGTCCTCATCATCTCCCCACCCTTTCCCCTGCC